CTTGCCTATTGTAAGGCTACTCCACTCCTCTAGCATTCTGCACTCCACTTACCCTGCTAGTCTCGGTACTGTGTAATCCTCACCGCTTGATCTCTACCAATGCATCTCAGCAGTTGAGCTCTAACGAACTGCTATTATTTATATCCTTGTATGATCAGAGGATTCGGTGTGAAAAAGAAAATGAGATGAACAGTAGAAGTTTTAATCATCTGTTTTGTTATTCTGTTCTTCTTCTTGTTCTCTGTTTTTAGTGCTTTGCAGGTTCATTATTCATGGTATCAGAGCTTTAGGTATCTCTTCCCATGGCAACTTCTTCAACCTCGTCGCCATCGACTGCTTCAGACACTATTACTGTATCCCCTGCAGTTACTATCCCTCCTCAGCTCAAATTCTTCAGGGCAAATGTAAATACCATGGTGGTTGTGCAGCTCACCACAGATAATCACTTAATCTGGAAGTCCCAGCTGCTGAAGTTGTTTGATGGTTCGGTCAGTGTAAACCCCCGAAGGATAATCACTTAATCACTTAATCACTTAATCACTAACAACTATGAGGGATACCTCACCGGCGCAGAAATCAAACCACCGAAGCAGATATTGTCGGTTGATGGTTCGGTCAGTGTAAACCCCCTTTTTACAACATGGATGCTCATTGATCAACACCTAGCATCAGCCACTTACTCCACTGTCTCAGTTTCATTGCTACCATACATACTTAACCTTGAATCCACACAGCAAATTTGGACAACGTTAGAGCTCCGTCTGCAGTCAACTCACAGAGCCAGATTGTTACAACTCAAGAATGATTTGCATCAGTTGCAACTCAGAGATAAAATAATGTTCCAGTATTTAACAGAGATCAAGGCAAAGGTTGATGCCATTACGGCAGATGGATCCTCCATTGACATAGAAGATATTATACTTTATACACTGAATGGCCTCCCTGCCTCGTATCAGTCTTTTAAGGCTGTTATTCGCAACCAGCTGCAGCCGATCTCACTCGATGATTTCTATGCTCTGCTCTGTAGTGAGGAGCTTCACATCTCATCTGATGTTGGCAAAGAAACCTCTGCAATTTTCGTGTTAGACTCTAACAATGTATTAACTGCTACTCAAGGATCATTTTGCGGCAGAGCACCCGTCTCGTCCAACACTCGAGGTCGCTCTCCTGGACGTGGCTTCAATCGATCAACTTCTAGTCGATCCTCATATTCTCGCGGTGGACGTAGAGCTCGCCAAGCTATAGATTGCCAGATCTGTTGGAAACAAGGGCATTTCGCCATATCATGCTGGCACCGACACGACACTGCTTACAATACTGCACCGCAAGCTTATGTTACTACTGATACACCACAAACTACAGATTGATTTCTAGACTCTGGGGCCACCGAGCACCTCACTGCAAATCCTGCCCACCTACAAAACTTACAACCCTACCAAGGATCCTCTCAAGTTCAAGTAGGTAATGGCCAACAACTGCCTATAGCCAATACAGGCCAAGGTTTACTTCCCACTCCGCACCGTAAGCTGCATTTACCCAAAATTTTGCATGTACCACATCTCTCCCACACTACTTTCCATACATAAACTAACTAATGATAATTCATGTTTTGTGCTTCTTAATGTTTATGGATTTGCCATTAAGGATTCTCAGACCAACAAGCTACTTCTCCAAGGACCCAGTCATCTTGGACTCTACCCAATTAAACTTCATAAGATTCATCCTCGGTCTACTTCCACCACAGCCCTTGTTGCTCTTCCTACGTCAAAGTCGCTATGGCATCAAAGACTTGGACATCCATCCGCCTCCACTCAACGTCGCTTATCTACTCTGCTACCTATTAGTATTAGTACTTCGTTAGAATCTATCCCATGTAATGTCTGTGCCAAGGCTAAATGCACTAGACTATCCTTCCCACTATCTAGTTCAGTGTCTAAACAATGCTTATAACTTATTCATAATGATGTATGGGGTCCTTCCCCAACTTTATCAATGTAATCTTATCATTTTTATGTTATATTTATTGACGATTACAATTGTTATACGTGGGTGTATCCTCTTCATCACAAATCAGATGTTTTTTCCAAATTCTTACAATTTCAAACCTCCATAAAAACCCTTCGTACCGATGGAGGGGGAGAATACATAAATAAACAATTTCAAACTCATCTTCTTAAGTGTGGTATCAACCACCAAGTTTCTTGCCCTTACACCCCTCAACAAAATGGGATAGCAAAAAGAAAGCATCGTCATCTGCTTGAAACCATGTAGGCATTACTCTTTAATGCCAATATTCCATCCAAATTTTGGGTTGATACACTCTTCACTGCAGTTTATTTAATTAATAGATTATCGTCTCATATTACTCATAACACTTCTCCATACGAACGATTATACAAGCATATCCTCGACTATACCCATCTCCGCGTGTTTGGATGTTTATGTTACCCATGGTTTCCTACTCAATTGTCACACAAGTTTTCCCCTCGCTCCACTCCCTATATTTTTATGGGTTATGCTTCACAATGAAAGGGCTACAAATGTCTGGATTTACAATCCAACAAAGTCTATATTTCTCGACATGTGCATTTTCATGAAAATCAGTTTCCTCTTCAAACTTCTCCTCATACTACATAACATGTTCCCAATCTTATACCATCAACTCTTGTTCATGTCTCATCAATACCACCACTCTATAATACAAACGATCCAATCGATTACTCAATTCCTTTATCTACTGAAGCTTCTCCCATACAGCATGCTATAGACTCTATACCTGATAGCAATTATATCCCTAATGCTTCCTCTGCTCCTTGCCCACCTGCTTGTTCCACACCTCCTCGGCATCCTTTGGTCACAAGAGCACAAACAGGCCATCTTAAACCGAGACAAGTGTTTGATCTTCATACCACTGTCATTCCCACTAATCCCATGGGTTTTCTACAAGCTAGTAAGCATAGTGCTTGGAGAGCAGCCATGAGCAGTGAATTTGAAGCACTTCAAAAACAAGGTACGTGGGTACTTGTACCACCAGTGCCGAATACTAATATTTTGGGCTCCAAATGGTTATTCAAAACCAAAGTTCATGCGAATGGATCTATTGCTTGCTACAAAGCTTGTCTTGTGGCGCAAGGGTTCAAGCAAGAGTACGGGATAGACTATCTTGAAACGTTTAGTCCCGTCGCAAAATTCCCTACCATTCACATTCTTTTGACCATTATAGTGACAAACAATTGGCAAATTTTGCAATTAGATGTTTCTAATGCATTTTTATACGGTCATCTCCAAGAAGTGGTCTACATAAAGCAACCGTCGGGATTCATTGACAAACAATTTCCGAATCTTGTTTATCTCCTAATAAAGGCTATATATGGACTTAAACAATCACCCCGACAGTGGTTCTCCACGTTTTCATCATATCTCATTCAATATGGCTTTCGCTCGAGCACTGCCGACCCGTCCCTGCTAATGCTGCATCAGAATTCAGTGCAAATATACATCTTGATATATGTTGATGATATCCTCCTCACTGAAAATTCTTCCACGGAAATAGCCAAACTTCTAGTTGCTCTACAAAATCAATTCTCCATGCGCAATTTGGGACCTGTCCATTATTTCCTTAGACTGCAGGTTGTATATACATCCACTGGCATCCACTTGTCTCAAACTCGATATACCTCAGAGCTTCTACATAAAGCTGTGATGGATGATTGCAAACCGGTCGGCACGCCTCTGCCGACCAAGTTTCACACCAACTCTGAATCAGCTTCTGCCTATGAACGACCGGAACACTACAAGCAGCTCACTGGAGCTCTCCAGTATTTGACGATTACTCGTCCAGATCTATTATTTGCTGTTAACTACCTCTGTCAACAAATGCACAATCCCCTCCAGTCCCATTATAACCTTTTTAAACGTGTTCTCCGCTATGTGAAAGGCATGTTATCGTTTGGCTTGCCAATTCACTCTTCCTCACTTGTTCTAACGGGATTTGCTGATTCCGATTGGGCAACGGATAACTGTGACAGACGGTCCATTACAGGCTATTGTGCCTTTCTCGGTAACAATCTTATATCTTGGATTGTTAAGAAACAATCATCGGTAGCTCGTTCGTCCACAGAGGCAGAGTATCGAGCATTATCCACAGCTGCTTGTGACATTATTTGGCTCCGCCGTCTTTTATCTGAATCCAAATTCACCAACCTGCACCAACGCAACTCTTCTGTGATAATGTCTCCGCTCTTACCTTGGCTAATAGTCCTATATTCCATGCAAGAACTAAGCACATAGAGATTGATGCTCACTTCATTAGGGATTGTATTAATTCGAAGTTCATCTCGGTGCATCATATTTGCTCTCAAGATCAACCTGCCGATCTGTTCACAAAATCTCTCAGTGCAGCTCGTCATTCTAAGTTAAGAAACAAGATAACAATACAGCCCTCCATTGTTACTTTGAGGGAGGCTGATAAGGAAAACTGATACTCACTCATGCCTATGCATAAGTCGGCTTGCCTATTGTAAGGCTGCTCCACTCCTCTGGCATTCTGCACTCCACTTACCTTGCTACTCAGTACTGTATAATCCTCACCGCTTGATCTCTGCCAATGCATCTCAGTGGTTGAGCTCTAATGAACTGCTATTATTTATATCCTTGTATGACCAAAGGATTTGGTGTGAAAAAGAAAATGAGATGAACAATAGAAGTTTTAATCATCTATTTCGTTATTCTCTTCTCCTTGTTCTCTGTTTTTAGTGCTTTGAAGGTTCATTCTTCAAGTACTTGCTCTTCTGTTATGATGTTAAATATCATCATTATGATCAATCTCTAGTAGTGTCTTATCTCTCACTTTCACACACCTCATCGTCTCCTTGTTTTTATTGGAATTATTTTTTATTTTTTTTTATTTTGATCATTTTAATTTTAATTAAATGACTTCACGGCATCGTCCACTGATTGTTCTCAAATTGAAGAGATTATTACGTGTGGATGTGGAACGTGTCTTACTGGCAATGAAGAATAGCCGCATTATGTAATTCTATACATTGATTGATATGCCTATGAATTCCTCCGAAGCAGTTCGGCCGCAAGTAATAATTAATCCTCGAAAGCTCGATCTGTGGACGGAGACAAACCTCCAGACCCAGCGGGCGCCTGGCGGTTGCTGAAGGGGAACCTCTCACCTGAGGAAAGAAAGTTAAAGGACGATGGCCACCGCCGGCACTGAAAACGGAGACGGCCATGTGGCGGCGAGGCGGGCGTTTGACGAGACCAAAGCTGGCGTTAAAGGTCTCGTTGATGGCGGCGCCACCACAATCCCTTCGTTTTTCTATCATCCAAAGCCAAGATTCATCCCTCCCCCTCCACCTCCCCATCTCTCTGTACCGATCATAGACTTTTCCCTTCCTCGTACCTCCATCCTCCCCGCTGTCGTCTCGGCCGCCTGCAACTGGGGTTTCTTCCAGGTCATCAACCACTCCATTCCACTCCCGATCCTCAGTCGCGCCCTTTCATCGGCCCGATCCTTCCACGAGCTCCCAGCAGCAGAGCGCTCCCGCTACTACTCTCGCGAATATGGCGGTGGCGTCTCTTATATTTCCAATGTTGATCTCTACAGCTCCAGCGCTGCCAGCTGGCGCGATACCCTACAGATCAGGATGGGCCCTACGCCGCCGGACCAGGAGAAGATTCCGGCGGTATGCCGTCAGGAGCTTAACGCGTGGGATACCTCAGCCAGGGGGCTGGCGCGGCAGGTGATGGGGATGCTGGCGGAGGGGATGGGGGTGGAGGAGGATAGACTAGAGAAGATAACTTGTTTGAATTCGAGGGTTTTGGCTTGTCACTATTATCCGCCTTGTCCTGAACCGGAGGCCACTGCAGGGCTTGTGGATCACAGCGATCCTGGGGTGCTGGCGCTTCTGCTGCAAGACGACATTGGGGGTTTGCAGATCAAGAAGGAGGGGGAAGACGGGGAGTGCTGGTGGGTTGATGTCAAGCCTGTGGAAGGGACAGTTGTGGTCAATGTTGGAGATCTCCTCCAGGTACTGAAATTTTCTTGCTTCCTGAAATTTCTTCAACAACGCAGCTCACCTTGGCTTGTTGGTTTTGGGTTTGATTCTTGCGAAAAAAAATAAAAATTCTTCAACTGTTTCGTTGACCAGAATGCACTGATCCTGCAAACAGCTTAGTTTATTTGTTTTAATCAAACATTGAGCTAATTTTGTGTTCGGCTTTAGTTTAATTTCATTGTTCGTAGCTGAGTAGGGATTGGGGATTTTATTTCCGAATTCGGCTGAGGTCAAATTTATGGATTTAGAAAACGGGAGAGAGAGACATGGAAGAAAGAAGTTTAATTTTACTTCATAAAATTTAATGGGAAATTTGCATAGAATTCTCAATAGTTTGGATTATTTGTGAATAAGAATAGTTTTATTTTACTTCATAAAATATAAACTACTTGTACGCACAAATATTCTTGAAAATATTGTTCAAACTAAAATCAACTTGGTTTAAGCTAAGTCGACTATGTTCAAACTAGAGGTGTAAAAGACTCGAGTTGGGCCGAATATTTGCCCAATCGAGCTATGTTTATTTAGTTCTTACTAAAATCAAGCTCGTTTAGTAACCTTGAGCTCAACTAGTTAAAAAAGTTATAGTCGACAAGAGTGTGCAACTTATGTATGTGACCATGATCCAAGAACTCTTCATAGTTAGTAACTAAAGCTTATCAGTCAGCCCTAGTGATTATTCAAAGATAGGTGACTTTCTAAGGCAAATTATTAATCAACAACTCAATTACTCAGCTACTCAGTTGGCAACTACATCAAGTTATGCCATCTGATCAGGCTATATAATTATTGTATTTTATTTATTTTTTGTATAGCTATGTATACAACTAATTTTGTGATGCTTAAGCTTCAATCCAAATATATAAATAAGGGGTTAGGGAGTGAGCATAGTTCCGTAATTTCTATGTAATTATCTATCAGAGTGTCTTACTTTAAAATTCTTCTTATTCTCTCTAATTTTTTATTCTCTTTTTTACTCGGTATTATCTTCTTATGATAAAGTTTCAAGAGAAGTGCTATGGAGAGTTCTTGAAAAGAAAAGAGTTAATAATGCTTATATTCAAATCATTAAAGATGTGTATGTAGGAGCTATTACTTGTGTTCAAACACAAGGTGGTTTGACCATGTATTTCCTTATTTCGGTTGGATTACATCAAGGTTCAGCCTTAAGCCCATATCTTTTTGCTTTATTCATGGATGTTCTCACTAGACATTTGCAAGAGGATGTACCTTGGTGTATGCTTTTTGCTGATGTTATTCTTCTTGTTGATAAGACTAGAGAGGGAGTTGAAAGTAAACCTGAATTATGGAGGTCAACATTAGAGAAGTAGATCTAAAACGGAATATATGGAGTGTAATTTTAGTAGTAATAGACCTAGTGAGGGGATTGTGACTTTGGGCGATCAAGTCATTAATAAGAGTACATGTTTTAGGTATCTTGGATCTATTGCTCAGAGTGATGGTAAAATTGATGGAGATATTATCAGCAGAATTCAAGTTGGATGGTTGAAGTGGAGGAATGCATCGGGCTTGTTGTGTGATAGAAAAGTACCCCTCAAACTTAAGGGAAAATTCTATAAGATGGTAGTGAGGCCTGCAATGCTTTATGGTGCCGAATGTTGGCCATTAAAAGAGAAACATAATACTAAGTTAAGTGTGGCAGAGATGAGGATGCTCAGGTGGATGAGTGGCTTTACCCTTAGAGATAGGATACGAAATGAGCATATACGTGAAAAGGTTGGAGTAGCTCCAGTAGAAGATAAGATTAGAGATAGTCGCCTTAGATGGTTTGGTCACATAAAAAGGCAGCCTTCCGATGATCCGGTTAGGAGAGTAGAGGTATTAGATTTGACTTATGTTAAGAAAGGTAGAGGTAGACCTAAAAAGACTTGGTTAGAAAATATTAGGAATGACCTTTCTTTATTAGATTTAAACGAGAATTTGACTTTTAATAGGACACAATGGAGAAAAAGGATTCATGTAGCCGACCCCACATAGTGGGATAAAGGCTTGAGGTTGTTGTTGTGTTGTTGTTGTCTCTTAATCCAGAGAAAAAAATAACTTGAAATTTGAAACCAAAAAAAATCTTTCAACTGTTTCGTTGACCAGAATGCTCTGATCCTGCAGACAGCTTAGTTTATTTGTTTTAATCAAACATTGAGCTAATTTTGTGTTCGGCTTTAGTTTAATTTCATTGTTCGTAGCTGAGTAGGGATTGGGGATTTTATTTCCGAATTCGGCTGAAGCCAAATTTATGGATTTACAAAACGGGAGCGAGAGACATGGAAGAAAGAAGCTGCGAGAGGGAAGAGAGTTGACTTTATAAAAACATTTAATGGGAACTTTGCGTAGAATTCTCAATAGTTTGGATTATTTGTGAATAAGAATAGTTTTATTTTACTTCATAAAATATAAACTACTTGTACACACAAATATTCTTGAAAATATGGTTCAAACTAAAATCAACTTGGTTTAAGCTAAGTTGACTATGTTCAAGCTAGGGGTGTAAAAAACTCGAGTTGGGCCGAATATCTGCCTAATCGAGCTATGTTTATTTAGTTCTTACTAAAATCGAGCTCGTTTAGTAACCTCGAGCTCAACTAGTTAAAAAAGTTATAGTCGATAAGAGAGCACCTTAAGTATGCAACCATGATCCAAGAACTCTTCATAGTTAGTAACTAAAGCTTATCAGTCAACCCTAGTGATTATTCAAAGATAGGCGACTTTCTAAGACAAATTATTAATCGACAACTCAATTACTCAGCTATTCAATTGGCAACTACATCAAGTTATTGAAAGAACAGAGCAGACAAAGAACAGGACAGAGGAAAGAAAAGACGGAACAATGTATTGAGAAGAAATATTGAGACTTTCATACTGTAGACAGCACGGTACAAGGAATAAATAGAAAAGTAAAGGGCAAGGCCGTAAATATGATGTTGCATAGGCTGTTCGCTTACAGCCGTAAATATGATGTTGCATAGGCTGTTCGCTTACAACCTCCCTCAAATTAATCATTCAGTTTGTGAATGGTTAATTTGCGGCGTAGGTCGTGAAAGAGAGCCGCTAGAAAAGATTTTGTTAGGATGTCGGCGATTTGATCCACTGATGATATATGTGTGAGGGAGATTTCGTCGGAGTTGAGGTTTTGACGAATGAACTGGTAATCGATCTCAATGTGCTTTGTTCGAGCGTAGAAAATTGGATTCTTAGATAGAGCCATTGCCGAAGTGTTGTCACAATGAATCATAGTTGGTAATGTTTGGGGAAGGTCGAAATCGGCGAGGAGTCGGCGTAGCCAGATGACGTCGGATGTGGCGGTGGATAGAGATCTGTATTCGGCCTCGGTTGACGATTTTGCAACCGTAACTTGCTTCTTGACGGACCAGGAGATAAGGTTAGGTCCCAAGAAAGTACATAAATTTGAAATGGACTTTCGATCGGAGGAGTTCGAGGCCCAGTCGGCATCGGTGTAAGTCCGTAGAGTTAAGTTCACTGAAGTGATCGGCAGTCCGAAGGACAAGGTGCCTTTAATGTATCGCAGCAACCGTTTGAGCACTTGAAAATTCTGTATTGTGGGTTGATGCATGTGTTGACAGACTTGATTGACGGCGAGGGCTATGTCGGGGTGGGTGATGGTGAGGTATTGGAGAGAGCCGGCGAGGCGACGATACAACGTTGGATCGGGAAAAGGTTGATTGTCTTGTACGTTCGGTTTGGCTTTGGGAGTGATAGGTCTAGGGGCAGCTTTGCAATCTGCAAAGCCCGAGTCTTGTAGTAATTTTTTTTGCATAATGCTGTTGAGTCGGGAATAGACTATCTGATTGGCGAAGCACTTGTATTCCCAGAAACAGAGATATTTGTCCAAGCTCCTTGGGTAGATGTTTCATTTTAAAAGTCCATTTGCAACCAAGGATGTGTGTGTTAGGTGAGGTGGGAACCAGTGTCCAAGTCCGTTGATTCTGAAGGGCTTGAATTTCATCAACCATTACTTGCCGCCAGTGAAGGAATTTGGCGGCTTGAGCATAGGTGGTAGGAGTGGATGATGAGGGGATGTGACTGACTAAAGATAGAATTCTTTTAGGTTTGGTAATTCCATATTTTAGACGAGTTTGCATAGGATGAGAAGGGCAAGATGGAGGAGGTGGTGACGGGTCAATCTGGACAGTGGATAATTGATGTGAGGAGGATCCTGTGGTGACGTCGTGAGAATCGGAGGTGGATGTGGTTTGAGAAATTTGGTGCGGATGAGAGGGAGTAGTAGTGGGAGGTGTGCTGGTAGCAGATGACGGGACAAAGAGAAGAGATGATGTGGTTTGTGATGTAGTTGTCTGATTTGGAGTAGAGCTGCAGTTGTGATCTTGATAAGGAAAATTTTGTTCATAGAAAACAACATGCCGAGAAATGTAAGTCTTGTTTGAAACAAGATCGTAGCACTTGTATCCTTTGTGAACGGAGGAATAGCCGATAAAGATGCATTCCCTTGAACGAGGAGATAGTTTGTTTTCTGCATACGGTTGTAGCTAGGGGAAACATAAGAAGCCGAAAGTTCTGAGGTGAGTATAGTTGGGTAACCTGCGATGTAGGCATTGATAAGGAGCTTGCAAATGCATGGATGCGGAGGGAAGACGGTTAATTAAATAATTAGCAGTTGAAAAAGCCTCTGCCCAAAACTTGGTAGGCAGGGTGGAGGCGTGAAGAAGGGTGCGGGTGAGATTGAGCAGGTGTCTATGTTTACGTTCCGATAAGCCATTCTGCTCGGGGGTGTGAGGGCAGCTGAGTTGACGATGTATGCTGTGATCTTGCAAAAAGGAGGTGAATTCGTTGCTAGTGTATTCGCCGCCGCCATCAGAGAGAAAAATTTTATGAGTGGTATGAAATTGAGTACTAATAAGTTTGCAGAAAGATTTAAATTTAGAAAGAGTTTCTTGCTTTTTGTGCATTAAATAAGGCCAAGAAAATCGAGTGCAGTC